GTGTCACTAAGTCTTTACGTTAGTTAAGCTGGTGCGGTCTATACTTCAACTACGGTTTATACTTCACCAACTCCGGTTATACTTCAACAACTACGGTCTATACTTCAACAACTACGGTCTATATTTTAACAACTACGGTTATACTTCAACAACTACGGTCTTTACACAACAACTACGGTTATACTTCAACAACTACGGTCTATACTTCAACAACTACGGTTATACTTCAACAACTACGGTCTATACTTCAACAACTACGGTCTATACTTCACCAACTACGGTCTATACTTCAACAACTACGGTTATACTTCAACAACTACGGTTATACTTCAACAACTACGGTCTATACTTCAACAACTACGGTCTATACTTCAACAACTACGGTCTATACTTCAACAACTACGGTCTATACTTCAACGATTACGCCTGTAAGTGCTAATAACGACACGTAATACATACCTGCTTTTCCCTCTAATAAATCAAGTAAAAACTAAATAAATTCCCCCTTAAGAAATAGCTAAATTATCGTCACACTTTTACTGAAATATTATACTTCTGTTATGTACTTGGTAGGAATTACTTTATCTAATATACACAAACAAAACAATAAGGTCACATTCCCTGGTACAGTAACTAGACCGCATACTATACTGACAGGTTTATCTTATAGTCTGGTTTGTTAGTATCTTTGAAGGGGCAGGTAGGATAATTATAAAGGAGTTAATTGGACAGGTGTGTGAGTATTACCACAGGATAACTGGCAACCTCAGAAAAGGGTTTAAATGATAATGACTCAAATACTATATTCAAAATATCTAAATACTTAGTCAAAAGATATCTTTATTGTCACTGTTGCAGCTGTCGTTTGCAACTAAAATTTCATCACAGTTTACAAAGTACTAAGAGATGAACTGAAACAATATTATTTCATTGTCTGGTGGTAGAAGTTAATTCCAAGAAATGTGATTGGTGACATGTGGAATTGACAGAGGATAATTTGCTTGGTGGTTTGGGGATTACGGTAATAACCTATAGGTGTAGTTATCACCTGTGCTGCTCAGGCTGAAGCACAAGACGCTTTTACTTACTGGAGGAAGGAGCTGTGGTCGCTTCCAACGCTTTTCTCTGTCGCTAATTTTGCAGCGTCAAAGAATGGCTTCCTTCACCAGACCTGAAGACTTTTTATCCTTGCTGCTCAAGACACACTTTGACGCAACTCTTCAGGAGGATGAAAACAAAACCGAAGTTGTGACATACAATGGCCGGAGCGAACGTCAGAGTGTATCAGAAAATACTATTAATGGAGATTGTGCTGGTGCTACAGTGGAGTGTAGAGGGGCGACCAGTACGTTCCCTGGTCCAGTAAATGGTTACCCTGACAACCATCACCATAATGGTAGGAGGGTGAACGAGACTCAAGTGGTGGACAGCTACAGGGGTGGTAGTGAAGGCTCCAGCCAGGGCGACCACTTTTACCTTAGCCTTCAGCTGAAGTCGTATGACCTGGAAGGTTTTGATAGTGAGGGCTACGACCGCCAGGGCTATAACCGTCTAGGCTATAATAAAATTGGGAAGAAGCTATCGCAGTACAACAGTCAGGGCTACAACAAGAGAGGCTACGACCGCGAGGGCTACAACTTCGTGGGTGTCAACAAACACGGTTATACCAGGATGGACTACAGCGGTGACGGATATAACATTAATGGCTACAACTGTGAAGGATTTAACCACGAGGGTTACAACTTCCGGGGCCTGAGACGCACTGATTATGACGTGGATGGCTACGATGCCTACGGTCTCGACTGCTACGGCTACGACCGTGACGGACTCAACGGGTATGGCTTAAGATGCGAAGACTACGACGATACAGGTCTTGACAGGTTTGGCTACAATTCGTATGGGTTTTACGGACAAGAGCAAAGACTGAACGTGAAACAGAGTGTCAGGAAGAAAGACGGAGCAACAGGGAGAGGAATGTCGCCGGCGATTGCAGCTGCGTCTGTAGCTTCTGATGAGGCGGTGTTGACTGTGGTCAAGGCGCTGGCGTCCATGGCTGTGTCCGAGGCTGAGGAACAATTGAGACGGGAACAAAGACATAAACAGTGATCACAATACCATATATATTTGCCAACTAGACATAATCCTGAAGGCTCTGTCCTTTTGTTCCGTCTTAATACAACCCATGTTGTACTGCTTCCCTCCCTTATCATATTTATATTTTTCAATTTCCACTGTAAATTTTTTATATACTTATAATATAAATGTAAATCAAAATAAAATTAATTAATCTTGAAGTGATAACCGCGGTAACATTATAAGATGTTCTTATTACCACCATGCTATTGAACTATTCCAGATGATACTAAATGTTACATAATACTTCCTTGAGATAAATGTATAGTATATATCACGTGCCTCAAAGAGAGCTCAGGTTCTCATCTGGCTCAGCCATGTTAATATTATGCTTTTTAATTGACTATCTGTGTCCTTCTGGCTAAATAAACTGTTTCAATATCAATCTCTCTCTCTCTCTAACTGGAAGTTGATTTTTTAAGATAATAAGGCTTACTGCTGTTTTAAAATGGAATGTTATAAGACATATTTATTTACATATTGTATTTTTTAATAGTGTAGATTATTACAACATTGGTTGGCATTCTGAAATTTTTGTGTTCATTAACGAGGAGCTGTCGTGGATCACTTGCCCTGACCTTGTTACTCCAATCACAAAATAAAAACTACAAAATTCATGATTTTTTTTGTCATCACAAAGTTTATTATGAGTGAGAATACCGGATCACCTATACATTAGGCACCCGGGTCGAGGCGCTTCAGGTGAGATGAATTAGGGTATCGAATCTTCAGGTGACTAATGAGATCCACCTGTCCTGTCCTGAAATTATTAAATAAAAAAATACTTTCAACTTACACCCAACCCCTATCACTCATATATCCATCCAACCTATGTTCGAAGCTATCCAGGGGTCCGACTAATTACCCAAATGTAGCCGCAACGAAGTCAAATAATGGTCCTACGTGAATAAATCGGACTGCTAATCACTTCTCGACTAGTATTTGGTGTCACAAAGTAAAAAAAAATTGGTAAACTTAATTTAATCTGAGTTAATAGATCGAGTGCATGTACCTAACCTAACCCAACACAACTCAGATTAAATTAAGTTTACCAATTTTTTGTGACTTTATGACACCAAATAATAATCGAGAAGTGATTCACAGCCCGATTTACGCTTGTACGACCATCATTTGATTTCATTGCGACTACATTTGGGTACATTTGGGTAATTACTCGCTCCCTCGGTACATGCACGTGATCTATTAACTCAGATTAAAGTAAGTTTTCCAATTTTTTGTGACTTTGTGACACCAAAAACTAGTCGAGAAGTGATTGGCAGTCCGATTTATTCATGTATGACCATTATTTGACTTCATTGCGGGTACATTTGGGTAATTAGTCGGACCGCTATCTATCCAGCGTATTCGAGTTATTGATGATGTTTGGTAACTTGTTCCACTCGTCCACTACTATATTTCCAAGCCAATGTTTACCTATCTCACGTCTAAGCCTAAATTTGTCTAATTTAAAACCATTGTTACGAGTTCGCTCCTGGTTGGATAGTTTGAGTACCTTTCTTATATCACATTTGTTTAGCCCTGACTTCCATTTATACACCTCTATCATATCGCCCCTCACTCTACGTCTCTCGAGGGAGTGCAGATTAAGAAGCTTTGACCTGTCTCTGTACTCAAGGCTCCTAATGCCCAGGATTAGTCTTGTTGTCCTCTGAATTTGAAGGGATTCTACATCCAATCTGTAGTAAGGTGACCAGAACAGAACTGCGTAATCCAAGTGGTCTCTCACAAGTGCAAGATATAGTTTTAGGATAACCTCGCTAGTCTTGTAACTAACACTCCTTTATATAAACCCAAGTACTTTGTTAGCCTTATTTCGAGCAAATACAAATTATTTACTGTACTAGGTTTAAGATCCCTACTTATCATTACTCCTAAATCTTTGTCGGTCGGATTTCTGTATAACAAAAGCCTCCATTATTATATTACTGTTACTCAAGATACTTATATAGGTACACATAATAGTGATAATATAAGATATATATATATAACTAACGTCATCATTAAATATCACCAAATAGGAACATATGTATCTACAGGTATGTCTCCTCACTCTATTGCCGTTTGTATACGACTTACTTTAAATTATCTAAGTTGTTTAGTGGAAATATATACTGTCCCTGTGTAATACTCCTACATGTCATTACTGAGACTCCGATCTAACCTGACCTGACAAGCCATTATTGACCTCATTACTACCACTCCCACCAGCACCACCAAATGTAACCTGACCTAACCTTAGTATATGGGTCAGATATAAAAGTCAGATCAGATCAAGGTCATAACTATCCATACCCATTTGGCCTGACCTACCTGAAGAACTCCCCTCCCCCTCCCCCCTCCCATAGAGCTACAGAAGAAGAGGGGGGCAGGGTGGGGGGGGGTGAGGGGGGGGGGTTCAAGTGATCTGCATAATTTTGTCGTATATTTTGAAGCATCACCAACTTACTGAATCTACAGTAAGTAATATTAGTAATCACGAAGGTCATATTATCATACAATATTAATAATATGATTCTCATCTTAATTTATCATAATAATAGTTAAACAGAAACCGTAAAATCACAATATATGTTTTCTTTTAGTAAGGTTTAAGTTAGGTCAGGTTAGGTTATACTAAAGGTTAGGTTAGGTCAGGTTAGGTTATACTAAAGGTTATCTGACATGAGCTAGTTTTCACCCCTTACATTATACTAACCATAATAAGAACACTGACTCTCGCAGATACTAATATACTGACTCAGCATTACCAGTACAGTATATCACTAAGCTTATATCATCATATGTATTATAGGTGAAGGTGGTATACTGTTATAGGTATAATTATAGGAGGAGGAAAATCATTAAAATAAATATTACTTAATTTATTCCAGTTCCTACAAACAACTTCTAAAAATGTCTTAAAATTAATTCAAACAGACGATATGGTCACACAACCCCGAACATTCTTCCCTCACATCCCACATTACTAACACGTTACCTCGCAAGCCAACACACATCTCTAGTTTATGTGATGCAACAGAAATATAAAACATATATATATATTAAAAGTCACATATAAACAGACTAATAAAAAATATACTTTAAAAAATCCTCAATTACTTTCTTATGTAAAATAAATAAGACATTGATGTAGGTCTTCCTCTAGTAACGATGAATGTCTAGTCATTTGTAAAATTTGATAACTGCTTCTTTTTTATCCATCATCAGTTTTGGTTTGCTACAGAAGAGCCAAAGCGATGACAGTCATTCCATTCTGTCATGACATTAGGATCTTTGAACAAACCAGCGCAGGTTTAACAGTTTATCTAACCTGTGGTACAGTATTATTTCTTGTGGTATTATTGTCAAAGTCTAAAAAAAGTAATAAAGTGAGGGAACTTGTAATGTATTTTATAAGGTAAACGACAAAAGTTACCCGACATTATAGTTTGGAGAGGAAGGAACACCTGTATTACTGATGACGTTCAAACTCTACAATTTTAGCAAAACTACACAATCCTGTTTACGAGATGATGCACAATACTGAACAAGTGTTTCTAAACTACTGATATAAAACTGTGAACTTTTAAAAATTTGAATATAACATTACTCACAGTTAACAAGAAACAAACATGACCAATAAGTTAACATTTCTAAAAGTTATCTAGGAAACACAACTTTAAGGGTTTATTTCAGTTAAAACTGTAGCCTGGTGACGGTCGACGCTTGTGACAGTTAAAATGGAATGTTTTGGAGATTATCGAACAAATCCTTCTGTTGTTGTAAGAGTTCCTCGTGCTGCCTGCTGACCGACTCCATTATCCTGCGTTGCTCCTCCCGGATCTAGAAAGATGGAAAAATAACAACGGATGATAACGTGGAACTGAGTAGAGTTGTTTCTCCTACGCTGACACCTGCCTGGCCCCCACACCTGTGACACCCAGAGGAGAGATAAAACGACACCTGCCTGGCCCCCACACCTGTGACACCCAGAGGAGAGATAAGACGACACCTGCCTGGCCTACACACCTGTGACACCCAGAGGAGAGATAAGACGACACCTGCCTGGCCTACACACCTGTAACACCCAGAGGAGAGATAAGACGACACCTGCCTGGCCTACACACCTGTAACACCCAGAGGAGAGATAAGACGACACCTGCCTGGCCTACACACCTGTAACACCCAGAGGAGAGATAAGACGACACGTTCATACTTAAGACAAATGACTAGGCAACCCAAAGAGATGCCACAAACTTTACGAGATCAAAACAAACACGCACACATCCACACACACACACAAACACACACACACACACACACACACCAGAGAGGACGCAATAAAACAACCTTATTAAAAAAGCGATATTATTAGTCAAACCAAACGCTGAAATAAGGCCTATAACCCAGAGCAATATTCAAAACATACAAAAGCACGTGGAAGCAAACAAGAAAATAAACAAACAAGAGGTTAAATGAAGCAAACAAATTCGAGACCAAACAAGGCACTAAGCCACTGGTTAAGTAAGGAGTAACAGTGTATGTATGTATGCATGTATGTATGTATGTATGTATGTACGTACTGTATGTATGCATTTTTTTTCCTTTGCGTAAAGTTATTGAGGAACATAACGTGTTGTTACGGACGTGTTTCTACATCATCGCGGGAAAGGAATCCGCGCCAAGAAAACTCATTGACGATAAGTGCTAAGATTTATTAACTGAATACACGACTGCAGGAGATAGTTGGTTTCCCAGTGAACACGATCTCTGATACTAGGTGAAGTTGACTCACTCTCTGGAGATGAAACTTGTATGAACACAGTCACTAAACTTCCATACGTGTGTCGTGTTACTATTTTGTCGGATGCAAATAAATACGTCATTGCTACGTCGTGTTTTGTGTTTGAGGTATATAATAATAACTAGATTGGTTAAAGAACGTTTTTGTGTACTACTGAGTAATGGTCGAACTGTAATTCACAAATCGTCTTAAGTTATTCCATAAAGTTTCCTGGGAGACATACACAGTTACGGCAGTTCAGTTCCCAGCTGGGTGTTAGCGACAAGGACTGTCTCAGCCAGCAGACAGTATATGATTATTTTTATACTAAGATTTTAAACAATTACAACGCATAGAAACGATACACTGTGGAAATACTCAAATTTCCTGCAGTATAAAAAAAGGCAAAACATAACTAACAAAATCCTGATGTTTCACTCCTGAGGCATCATTATGGATTTACAATTTTCATTTGAAAAGTAAACAGAGGCACGATATTCGATGTTGTCTCAAGTTCACCTTGATCTAACTAACACATTCATAGCAGCTAAACACGACCAGAAAACGTTAGTGTCTTTACTATTCAGCCTTCGTTAATGTACAATACACTGAAAGCATAACGAACATAAAAATGTTAGTAAACACTAAGTTTACCTTGGTAAACACTGAGGCACGAGTGATCTTCAGCTCCACATCTGCTTCATCTGTTGGAAGAACATACATGTATTTTTATGGTCCCCTACCAGCTACTAACGGAGCGCCTCCTATTGCAGGGGTCGGTGGTTCGATCCCAGGCACCCACAGTTCACCCAGCTGTAAATGGGTACCTAAGTTTATGGGGAAGTGAATGCGGTCGAGTGCAGTACCGGCCATGCTGCCTCCTTGTGCACCGAAGGTTTAGTATAAATTGTGCCGTATCGCTGCATCCACACTGTCGCATACGGGCAGTCATGCCTATGGGACCCACTTTCACTTTTCACCAGTCACCGAGGTCTCGGTGCGGCGTCTTAACGTGAACTGCTGCCTCATAACACATCTGTGTAGCGATCATGACAGTATTCTCGACGTTGATTATTTATCTTCAGAACATGAACTAAATGTATCAATGGAATACGTTCATCTTCTTTCAGTTACTCTTTAACTTGACCTGTCGCAACTTCATCGACCAGGAATGAAAACGAATTAATGCGATTCACCAATGTCTCGTCTTTTAGCCTCGTAGTCCTCTACAAGTTGTAGATGAAGGTAAAGATGACAACTGTGTCACTAGTGTTCAACCACTACACACTCATCGTTCAGCTCCTGTCACATCATGTGTAGTTTGTTACAAGTGTTTCTGTGAGTTACTGTCTTGGCGTAGTAAGTAGAAGGCTGTGTATTTACCAGCCAATAGGGTTAAAGAAAACCCCTAGACGATATTTCAACTTAAATGATCTTCAGCTGGAAGACTAAAACACAGTAATTGGTCTCGCTAAAATAAATCTGAAAAATCTTGGTGAGGATTATTTTGCGTTCCAACCTTTAAAAGAATAAATTATTTAATGTTCTCAGTCTAAGGTCTTGATGTACTTACTGTCCATCACACAGATAAAGATACTGATAAGATGGTCTTCAGGACACTCACACAGGACATAATAATAGAACTTTCAAATATAAGTATGATAATTAGTTACTTATTGATCCTAATTATACAGAATGACTACGATATTGAACAGTAACCATCATCATCACCATCACATTCATCATCATGCTGAGGCGGTCAAGTTCAGCTCCGTAAAGACGAAGAAGACCATCTCCCATTCGTCCTCCGCCACACCAGCTGAGTTACTCGCTAATTTAAGTCTATTTACTTCATCAGAATCATTCCACTACGTTACAAGATCTTCAAAAATTGACACTCCTCTCCCAATCACTACAGTGTTTTCTAAGATACTTCATGCTCTCTCGTGTAACCTCAAGCCAATCTCCCATGAATTATTGTGCATTACAGAAGACAGATAGATAAGCCACCACCGTCAGTGTCCCCCACAGCAGCACCAGAAGAGAGCTTCCCACACCACAGGCATGGGACTCAACCCCCACCTGTTCTTGCAGCTGCTTTATTTCCTTTCGGAAGCTTTCCTGGTGTTTTTGGAATTCTTCCTGATATGAGCCAATTTTCTCCCGCTGTTGCTCGAACATCTCCTGGTGTTTCTTGAGGTCCTCTTCGACTTCCCCGCCGATGCTCGAGACAGCTTGCCTGCATTTAGTCAACTCGGCGTTGGTGTCCGTAATACTGGGGTCATTGGTCTCGGCGGTTACCGAGCCGTCAGTATCCTCGGTGTATGTGACCTGTAACAAATGACGAAGGTTAGTAGTTTAATCACGAGTTAATAATATCCTTTTCCATGGGATCCCAAAATCCATATTATCAACACCGAGTTAAATTAAAATTTCCCGATAAACCTCAGGAGTATTTGTTAAGGTACATGTATTAGAGGGCTCCACCGACCCTCAGGGCTCCCCACTCCGACAAGACACCAAAGAGATCCTCGCCGAGAGAGAGACCGAAAATAAAGACATTCTGGAGGTGAGACGCTCCAGTCATCCTCCCCTAGATGGAGTGATCACCCACCTTCCCTCTAGATGGGTGAGGTTTCTCTCAAGTTAAAGGGGGGGGGAGTAGATCGTTTTCTCAAGGGAATAACCCTCCGCCTCATCTTTATCGACAACTACCCAATTTTTCGCCTTCCTGGAGTGCCCCCTCTCCCCCCCCCCCGTCACACAGGAGCGAACGTCATTCAGTGTCAAGAGGCAGACTTATGCACCTAAATGTAAAGTGTTGGGTGTATTCGGCCTGGCTGCATGAACTTCTCTCATTTGAAGGACTGTCGAGGGGTTCTCTTCATCTTTGAGGATTTCTCTTCTCACCTGTATTGAGAATCCCTCTACCCCCCTCCCTCACTCCTGTCAACCCTACCCGTAACTCCTTCCCTCATGGTCGACACATTCTCCACTCGTCTTACCCTCGATGGAACTTCCTCCTGTAAGTAACCATATCGTCTCATATAGTTTGATTCTCTGCTCAGATGAATCAACCGTAACACAACAAGTACCAGTGCTCACCTTGACGGTAATGCCACTGCTTTTGGTGTACACACATTCTCCTTTAGTCACACCGTCAGCCGTCGCCCTGGACTCGGCTGCACTCATGGAATTCTCTCCGCCCATACTCATGAAGGACGACTGAGAGAAACTACTAGGCTTGGCCGCGACTGCGTGAGTGAACACCATCAGCGTCCCCAGTAGTGTAGCCATCACCACCTCCACACCACTCTGCTTCCGCATCCTGCACGTCATCTGCAACAACAGAGGAACAGTTCACGTGTTCTTTTATACATAAATGACTACACACACACCCGTGATAACCCATTAGCGATAACTTCTATGTATGTCAATCTTTTTTTTTTCTTGGAAACCTCTGACTAACCATAAACGATCAAGAACATCACCAGAATACATATAAATAAATAACTTCGCAAAAAACCTAACCTAACCTAAACTACACGAGGTAAATTTGGTTATATTATGATGGTAAACGACGTCTTCAGTTAAAGAGAGCAGTTGAAGATCTATACGACTTAATTGAAGGTAGTACAGTAGGTAGTAGGCAGCTATCAAACAGGGAGGTACTACCGCCTGGGAAGATATTGGAAGCATAATGTATTGTCTAATGGTAGACCCTGCTGCCATATGGCATCACGAAAATTGTGACCAAGTCCCAGGTTGCTGATCTGACTTTCTGCCTCATTTACACACAAGTGCAGGGTCTCAATTGTCTCTCTTACTATGACAACACAACATACATATATGGTTTCTCACTCTTGATCTTTTTTGTTGTATTTCTTTATTATTATTATTATTATTATTATTATTATTATTATTATTATTATTATTGCAGTGTTATTATTATTATTACTGCAGTGTTATTAGTATTATTATTGCTATTATTTTATTATTTTTACTCACCTGAATTACTATTAATTATTATTATTATTATTATTATTATTATTATTATTATTATTACATTTTCGCCCCCCAGGCCCCGATGTGGGTCAGTGACCTGTGCCCGGGTGGGCTAATCCCCGTAAAAAAAATCCAATAATACACAACAATAAAAACACCAGGTAAAAATTCAATTGCTCTTTAAGGTTTAGTCCAGTAGTCCTATTTAACGTAACAAACAGAGGCAGGGGGGGCTGTAGCAGGGAAGGGGTTGTGGTGGTAGGGGAGGAGGAGGGGAGGGTTGTGGCAGGCAGGGGGAGGGGTTGTGGCAGGGAGGGCAGGGGGAGAGGGGAGGGGGGTGGGGGAGGGTTGTGGCAGGGGAAGGGGTTGTGGAGGGTTGTGGCAGGGGAGGGTTGTGGCAGGGGGGGGGTTGTGGTAGGGAGGGTTGTGGCAGGGGGTTGTGGCAGGGGGGAGGGGGGGGTTGTGGCAGGGGGAGGTTGTGGCAGGGGGTTGTGGCAGGGGAGGTTGTGGCAGGGGGTTGTGGCAGGGGAAGAGGTTGTGGTAGGGGTAGAGTGAGGTGGCAAGGGGAGGGTGTGGCAGGGGGAGGGTGTGTCAGGGGAGGGGGGTGGGGGGTGTGGCAGGGGGAGGGTTGTGGTGGGAGTTGTGGCGGGAAGGTTGTGGCAGGGGAGGGAGGGGGTTGTGGCAGTAGGGGGGAGGAGGGTTGTGGCAGGGGGAGGGGGTGTGGCAGGGGTGTGGCAGGGTGGAGGGTTGTGGCCGGGGGTTGTGGCAGGAAGGTGGTGGCAGCAGGGGGGGTTGTGGTAGGAAGAGGGTGGGTGTGGTGGGTTGTGGCAGGAAGAGGGTGGGTTGTGGCAGAGAGGGTGTGGCAGGAAGAGGGTGGGTTGTGGCAGGAAGAGGGGGGAGGTTGTGGCAGGAAGAGGGTGGGTTGTGGCAGGAAGAGGGTGGGTTGTGGCAGGAAGACGGTGGGTTGTGGCAGAGGGGAGGGGAAAGGGACCTGGTTGACCATTGTTCTAATAATAACGAACATCACAAAACCATCAACATCACGTTGTGTTTCCAAACATTAAGAAGAACGTATTATATTGTTTGATATTTCCTGGCCACGCCTAGCCGTCATGGGGTGCTGGTTCACTAAAACAATTGGGAGCTTGAGTCATAAGGCAGCCCAGAGAGGCGTATTGAGGTCGATCTTTACTGTACTGGCTAGGCGGTGTATCGTAGGCTACAGTACACTAACTACCCGTCAGCCCTGTATCTTCAACTTGATTATTTTATTGATACATAATAAATTGTCTTCGTTCTCTTGTAGTAAACATATATCAAATAAAAGTTATTCTTACGGTAGTGTATTTCAGCAGCACGCTTCACACTACATAAGAACATAAGAATGGAGGAAACTGCAGCGGGCCTATTGGTCTATCCTGGGCAGTCCCGTTTACACCCAACCCCTATCGCTCATATATCCATCCAACCTATGTTTGAAACTTTCCAGCGTGTTCGAGTTAATGATGATGTTTGGTAACTTGTTCCACTCATCCACTACTCTATTTCCGAACCAATGTTTACCTATCTCGCGCCTAAATCTAAATTTGTCTAATTTAAAACCATTGCTATGAGTTCGCTCCTGGTTGGATAATTTTAGTTCCTTTTGTTATACACAGAGTTACACCAATTCACGCAGAGTTCATCACAGGTTTTGACTTTTAATTAACGATGTTCCATGGCCAAAGTTTCACTTACACTTTCTTTACTCTCTCTGTCGTTGTAAGAAAATATTCACGTGAACAGTGTTATGTGGGTAGGTACAGCTGGAGTTGACCTCTGCACTTCATCTCACCAACATATCTCGCATAGTACGCAGTTTGTTATCCGTCTCTGGACACTAAAATATCAAACATCAGATTACCTGTTGACACATTTTCCTCTACATTATAAGGTACTAAAAAATTAATTCTAAAGAGCTTTTGTTCTGGTAAAGATATTATGAACTTAAATTACAATAACTACTCAATAATAATAATAATAATAATAATAATAATAATAATAATAATCATCCAGACGAAAACAAACCCGGCCCATGAACCGTGGTCTGGCAGGGAAAGTCTAGAATTAGTGACATAGCTACTGTAAATTAATGTAGTCGCCGCCGCTTGAGACTCATGTTCTCGTTTTCTTTAACCACCCCTTGTGTTATCACTCCGCGAACCATTACAACACTTGGTGAATTTGCAACTAAAGTTTATAATATGGACCTCTGTCATATGTTAAACAAACCTACTATGTTTGGTACAATTCTGAAGAAACGTTCACGAGTTATTTTGGAAACACAGACAAGAAGACACCTATCAACTTTCTCTGTGGTGTTCTTCTTGTGTGTGTGGAGGGAGGAAGGAAGGAAGGAAGGAAGGAAGGAAGGGGATTAACAGGAAGATATTAGTGGAGGGAAGAGGGAGGGATATAGTGCAGGAGGATGTGTGTGTGTGTGTGGGAAGAGAGGAACCTTGGTTGTATTATGTTCCTTGGGAGAGAACCTGTTGTGGGCGGGTGGGTGGTGGGAAGGCCAAGGACAACCCTTACCTCCCACCACCACAATACGTAACACAGACCAACTCCCACAGGACGCGTAGGACCTCAGTCTAACAAAGTCATGATATACACTGGCGAATTGTAAACAAACCACAGACTACATGTACTGGGGCGCTGTGATGACTTAAGTGTATTTAGGTTAGGTTAGGTTAGGTTAGGTTAGGTTAGGGTTGAAGATATTAGGTTAGGTTAGGTTAGGTTAGGGTTGAAGATATTAGGTTAGGTTAGGTTAGGTTAGGTCAGGTCAGGTTAGGGTTGAAGAGATTAGGTTAGGTTAGGTCAGGTTAGGTTAGGTTAGGTTAGGTTAGGTTACCAAATCTGATCCGACCTGACCTTAGGAAACCTCACCCACCCACCCTAACATGGAATTATTATTATTATTATTATTATTATTATTTCACTCTATACACATTCACATACATATACACATACACGTACAGATACACATACACACACACATATGTATACACAACATACACACGTATAAATACAAACGCACAAATACAGTATTCACGTAGACACTTGCATACATGTACACCTACACATGCATACATTCATATGAACGTACACTAAAACAACCACTCATAATCACGTACACATAATACGTAGACATCTACACATTCATGTATACCTGCACACGGACACTTGCACTTACACAGGCTCACATACATGTACACATGCACACATACACTAACATACAAGAACACTCCTACACACGCACACAAACACACATTAATGTACACACCAGCACACGCACACATACAGTACATAAACACAAACATGTACAGATACAAGCACACATACACTCGCATCACGCACAGATACACGCTCACACCTACAGTACACGTACACCTAAACACGCACACACTCACATTCTGGAATTTCGACAACACTAGTAATCTACGGTATATGATAGTTGATTATTATATCGGGGTCATGATTTCAGTTTCTCTCACCACAATATACACGACGATTAACTGCGCCACACCTCTCCTTGGCAGTCAATCCCAGGGTCAAAACTCATCTCTCTTGCTTTGTTTACACACACACACACACACTTTTGTTTTCCTTAGATAAATAGTAAGATCATCATTCAATTACACGTTGATAATGCAAGTAATGTATAAAATGTACAGGTATATAACATTGGTACACAGGCAGTGGAGGTTTACACATACGAGGAGACAGTCCAGGTATATCTAATTACATTATGTATTTCCTATAACTGTTCTCTAATAAATATTTTAACGTAATGTGTCATTCTAAACGCTATAGTAAAATTCTGCTGTTTAAATGGTTACTGTCAACGTATATAACCTTTAATAAGTGTGTTGGGGGACTCACTCGCCTCACTCGCTCGCCTCACTCACCTTCCCGCACATCACCACTTGACTGTTGTTCTAAGTAAACTGGGTGTGTTTTATTATACTGACGGAGTTGGACTATGGTGTCCCTCCCCTTCACAAGGTCAGTCACAGGCTATTCTCGTTCGTGGTGTCAGGCGGTGTGTGTGTGTGTGTAACTCTCTCTTTCTTTTTTAACTCTAACAACTCAATTATCTTATGTAACGAGGGGGAAAACGACGCTGTGTGGTTTACTGTACACACAATGAGTCTACAACCAAGTGACGTCAATGATGATGTCTCGTGTTGTTGACTTTATAATGTGGGGATTGGTTATTGTACTGTTTATACTTGTTGTTACCTGAACTAATGTGACTTAGCACACCATACTGTATGAGTCAACGTTAATATCTAGTTGACCGGAGCTTAAGTGTATATATTGATACAGTAAGTCTTATGTTAGTGCCTCGGGTTGTAGAAGTATTTGTACGTGAATTAAAGTGTACAGTTCAAAGCATTTATTTATTGTTCTGGAATAAAGAAAGTTTGTTAGTTGAATTACGAGTTAAATCATGAAGTTACAGTGTTGAGTGTACGAGCAAGAAGTGAACTGCATGGCACCGAGGTGAACGTATGACCTAGAGGGAGAGAATCACAGGCAGAAGAAGGGGCAGAAGAGGTCCACGCGAGATGAGACACTCCTGACCCACCGAGTCTTTCTAGAGCAAGATTAATGAAGGTGAAGCCACAGTGTATAGTAGGGGGTAGGAGGGAGATACCTAGACTATAAATTAATCTTCTAGAATAAATTATTTCCATTCTGATGAGAGAAGGAACAGATTCATGCCAGTTATTTGGAGATAATTTACACAGTTCTACATTAACGTGAGCGCCTCGAATTTTAGTAAGAATATTGAATTGAGTGTACAGTGTTCAGTCAGTATGGTTAGGCGAACGTGTGGAACTCTTTAAGATACGACATACAGCTAGTGCTTACAGTTGGCCAGCGACAGTGTACGTGAGGTTCAACCATCAACACGCGATAACCTGAGCATTACATAACTCACACTTTCATGTCCAGTTTTCTTACTGTTTTGATGGTTGCTGATGTAGAGATCCTAGATTCATTCTCAAAACAAATAACATTATTAACTGGCGTGAACTTTTTTTTTTCTAGATGCTTATTTAATCCCTAGTAACTGTGCCTCACCCTCGCTCCGTGTGTGATTTGTTAGACCAGGTCATGATGTAGAAACTATTGTACACAGTGATTTTTCATTCCTCTTCTTTCCAGCTCCAAATAGAAAAGGTATTTATGTTTTGTATTACTGTAATTATCTTGTTACAGGTAATTCCTAGGTTTAGTTACTTTATTTCTCTTCACCATCTAGTCACTGACCCCCCGATGGCACACACCTTCTCCCAGATCCAGCACAAGAACACCTTCAGACTTTCCACTCCTGGTGATGTAACTCTCCCATGTGGGTGAGGAACAACAAACATTACCACATAGTTCATTCTCTAGCCGAGGCAAAACTTCTCGCTCATACTACTATATGTGGAGGTGATGTTTGAATGATTAACTAAAACCAGAAGCAAAAAGTGAAGTGGTAATATACATGCGTGTATTTGACGTTCATTAACTAGTTTATTAAATATAACGAAGTTAAGTGTAATCTAGGTGTTGGCAGCCAATACAACTGTAACATAAGTCTCACTGTGTTACATCACGACAGCAAATGACAGTGGAACATACGAGAGTGAAGATATAATTCAATCTGAAGTTGTGTTCACTGGAGGTGTCGAGTCTTCACCACACACTTACAAAGGTATAACTATTATTTTAATCACACACCTTCACAACAGAAACAGTGAACATAATGTATATAGGTTCAATGTAGAGTCGGATTATTTACCATCGTCTTACCAAACAAAAACAGTTAACAGTCTCACTCACTCACTCACCTTTCTATCGTTGTCAGAGGTGGACGGAAGTATGGGTCCCCGTTGGTCGTTCCCAGTTCTTATATGTTTGCAAGATCCTGCCAGAAGTTGCCAGACTCACCAGCACCGCCCACGGGTACCATAGACTATAGCTGTTATGGTGTGTCATTCAACGTGAAAAGTATTCAAACACTTCCTACAATCCTCTCATTCCTTACCTACTGTTGGTGAGTAACTGAGAAAATATAAAATAATGAGAATATTCGTCAACTCGGTACTAAACCTTCAGTAAATCTAAGCTAATATTAAATTAAAATGACCAAAAGACACAAGGTAATGTTTTATGTTTTCCCTCAGTCTCAGCTTGCATATTGGCGACCTTTGACCCCTGTAAAGAGGATAATATAATAAAATATCCGACCCATTTACACAGTTGTTTGGGGAGGGGGTCAGGTTAGGGTACTTACGCCAAAATAATGGATAAACACCCCCCCCACCAAATTAGATCTTTTCTAAACCTTGACCCAAATAATGACCGAAAGTATAACTAACTTTTTTTGTTAAACCATTACGTTGGAAAATATATACACACACGTAAAGGCATTTGTGTACATTTTCATATTCAATTAACTAGATAGAACCAAACAAGAACTTAATGTACAGTAGCTAAAACAACTATCTGTGCAGGTGGGGGTCGATATGCTCGGAAATATTTTACGTGTGACTAGTGACAGCCCTCATATACCAAAATTTATCGTCCATGGTATCGTATTGCTTCCCATAGAGTATGCACAGATAGTTGTTTTAGCTACTGTACATATCTGACGAATTTGTGACCCTTGACCACCACAAAAACATAAAAATTATTAAAATACATAGAAAAAAAATTGCTTCATGGTGAATTGGAATAAATCTGCCCAAGTTTCAACTCCGGTGAACTAGAAATGAATGAGCGACTACCAACAGGAAATGACTGACATGGATATGAGTAAATACATGCAAAAAATATTTATTCTACCTCACGTGGAGTCCGATCACCTGAAGATTAGACACTGTAGCGATAACCTAATCTAACTCATTCCTACCTAACCTAACCCAATGTAACCTAACCTAATCTAATCCACCCTAAGATAGCGGTAGGGTGGTTAATCTTAAGGAGAAAGAAAGAAAGAAAGAAAGAAAATGCTCAGATAATATTCCTGCAATTATATATATACCATTTGAAATATGCGCTCCTCAGTTCTCTGTACAGTATGTCACAACTGCCATTGATTGTTGATTTGAAAAGCTACACACCCTAATCTAGCGGTGATGGGTGAGTGGGTGAGTGAAAGAGCGAGCGAGTGAGTGAGTGAGTGTGTGTGTGTGTGTGTGTGTGTGTGTGTTGCTAATTTGTATTGTCTACTACAAAAGTCGGTTACTGAACTTCCTGTAATGTAGTGCTGGTTGTCTTATAATCATTCTTTGGTACTGTCTTGACCTACAGCAGTTTCTACTCGTAAATTAGACCCCCCTACACACACACACACACACACACATTTCAACTAGTAGGTCAGTGAAAGTAGCATTATTCCCACCATCCTCTTTCCTCGTTTCATCCACCTACGTAGTACTTGCTAAGCCCTGCGTTGCGTCCAATATATGTGGTGTATATACCTAAACGTGTGTGTGTGTGTGTGTGTGTGTGTGTGGGGGGGGGGATGACGGACACGATTATGATGTGGTATACCTCGACTTTAGCAAAGCCTTCGACAGAGTCTCTCACTAAAGACTAATACATAAAGTGGAGGCTCACGGAATTGTAGGAGATATTCTAAGATGGATTAGGGTGTGGTTACAGGACAGGAAACAGCGAGTAAGTATTGACGGCACGAAATCCAATTGGGGTAACTTCACTAGTGGAGTACCCCAAGGCTCAGTACTTGGACCATTACTATTTATTATATACATACACGGCATAGATATAGGCGTAGACAGCAACGTAAGTAAATTTGCTGATGACACTAAAATAGGGCGTGTAATTAAATCTGACGAGGACTCCGAAACTACAGGAAGATTTAAACATTTTTTTTTGCTTTGTCTGAAAAATGTCAGATGAAATTTAATGTGGACAAATGTAAAGTACAGGGAAACCAGACGTCAGATGAATAACGTTGTTGTAGAGAAATTCAGCTGTGAGAAAGATTTAAGAGTAATGAGTATGAATCTTAAACCAAGACAACAATGTGTATTCGCTCGAAACAAGGCTAACAAAGTACTTGGGTTCATACAAAGGAGTGTTAGTTACAAGACTAGCGAGGTTATCCTAAAACTATATCTTGCACTTGTGAGACCTCACTTGGATTACGCGGTTCAGTTCTAGTTACCGTACTACAGAATGGATGTAGAATCCCTAGAAAGTATTAAAAAAGGATGACAAGACTAATCCCGGTCATTAGGAACCTTGAGTACAGAGACAGGTTAAAGCATCTTAATTTGCACTCCCTCGAGAGACGTAGAGCGAGGGGCGATATGATAGAGGTGTATAAATGGAACTCAGGGTTAAACAAATGTGATATAACAAAGGTACTCAAAAAATCCAACCAGGACCGAACTCGTAACAATGGTTTTAAATTAGACGAATTTAGATTTAGGCGCGAGATAGGTAAACATTGGTTTGGAAATAGAGTAGCGGATGAGTGGAACAAGTTACCAAACTCGAATACGCTGGATAGCTTCAAACATTGGTTGGACGGACATATAAGCTATAGGAGTTGGGTGTAAACGGGACTGCCTAGTATGGGCCAATAAGCCCGTTGCAGTTTCCTCCATTTTTTTATTCTTGTGTGTGTGTGTGTGTGTGTGTGTGTGTGTAGAGTAAGGAAGGTGGGCAAGTCAGAGGGAGGGCAGGAGACTGTAGGTGGTTGTGTGCATTAAGGATGAATCAGAAGCCCTGGACACACGACCAGGGTGAGTGATGAATCAGGGTGAAGGAATTCCTGTGATGTAGCTCCAGCACCTGGTCCCACATGATCATCACCCCAATACTGCTTCTCACTCAGCGTATTTTGAAAGCTTGAGTGACGCTTTGTTTAGAAACACGACGGTGAGGTCAGCCTTACCAGGAATACGCTTAAAGCACAAGACGTTGATGTCATACAAGAAAATTTGAGACTTTTTTTTATCATGATTCTGGATTTAAAGAAGAAAATAGCTGAAAGATGTAAAATTGGGTGAACAGCACTTCAGTTCTTTTATTGAAGAACAAAATAAACCTCATTATATCAAGAATGAAGTTCACGCGTCATAAGAATTCCGCTAAATCTCTCACTGGTGTTCGTGCCGGAAACAATTTTGTACGAACATTAACTTAAATTTCTAGTTCTCTTTAATAATTTAGACTCTTACTGTCACCTACTGTAGAAGACCGAGGTGTCCGGACTGTGGGGCAGGAGGAGGGGTGGTGAAGGTCCCTCATACTTACAAACGATTTTTTCCAGTTATAAGAACATAAGAATGGAGGAAACTGCAGCGGGCCTATTGGCCCATACTGGGCAGTCCCGTTTACACCCAACCCTATTGCTCATATGAGCATCCAACCTATGTTTGAAGCAATTCAGCGTATTCGAGTTAATGATGATATTTGGTAACTTGTTCCATTCATCCACTACTCTGTTTCCAAACCAGTGTTTACCTATTTCACGCCTAAATCTAAATTTGTCTAATTTAAAACCATTGTTACGAGTTCGCTCCTGGTTGGATAGTTTGAGTACCTTTGTAATGTCCCCTTTGTTTAGCCCTGCCTTCCACTTATACACCTCTATCAGGTCGCCCCTCGCTCTACGTCTCTCGAGGGAGTGCAAATTAAGATGCTTTAACCTGTCTCTATACTCAAGGTTCCTAATGCCCGGGATTAGTCTTGTCATTCTCCTCTGAATTCTTTCCAAGGATTCTATATCCATTCTGTAATACGGTGACCAGAACTGAACTGCGTAATCCAGGTGTGGTCTCACAAGAGCAAGATACAGTTTTAGGATGACCTAGCTAGTCTTGTAACTAACACTCCTTTGTATGAACCCAAGTACTTTATTAGCCTTGTTACGAGCAAAAACACATTGTTTACTTGGCTTAAGGTTCCTACTTATCATTACTCCTAAATCTCTCTCGCAGTCGGATTTCTCTATGGCATCGTTGTTCATCTGGTATCTGGTTTCCCTGTTTACATCTCCTATACTGAGTACTTTACATTTGTCCACGTTGAATTTCATCTGCCATTTTTCAGACCATTCGAAAAATTTGTTTAGATCTTCCTGTAGTTTTGCGGAGTCCTCGTCAGATTTAATAACACGTCCTATTTTAGTGTCATCAGCAAATTTACTTATGTTGCTGTCTATGCCGATATCTATGTCGTTTATGTATATAATAAATAATAATGGTCCAAGTACTGAGCCTTGGGGAACTCCACTTGTGACGTTGCTCCAATGGGACTTAGTGCCGTTAATGCTCACTCGCTGTTTCCTGTCCTGTAACCATGCCCTAATCCATTTAAGGATGTCACCTTTGATGCCATGAGCTTCTACCTTTCTAATTAGTCTTTCGTGGGGACTCTGTCGAAGGCTTTGCTAAAGTCGAGATATACCACATCATAATTGTGCCCCTCGTCCACCGATTCGAAAACTGATGAAAAGAATGTTAATAGATTAGTTAGACAAGAACGTCCGCTTGTGAAGCCATGCTGGGAATCATTGATCAATCGTCTCCAGGTGATTTCGAATAGAGTTTGAAATGATTGCTTCCAGTAATTTGCCTACTATGCTAGGTTATATATACTGTACTGTACATGTGTGTTTGTGTATGTACTGTATGTCGTATGAAATCAAACACCTTCAGTAATCAAGGCTTTATTCAACTCATAAATCCATATACATCTGCAACAGAACAAAACATAACCCAATTAGAACAAGAGAACATGTAGAGTAAAGGTAAACACAAACAATTTATTCCATAATATGACGTTGTACATGTGTGTGTGTGTGTGTGTGTGTGTGTGTGTGTGTGTGTACATTAGGGTGTTCAGATACAGGAAGTCTTTAGTCATACTTTATTATGGACAGGTTTACCTTACATTCTTGATAGAAGTATTACATTTAAATAAAAAATGAAAAAAATGTCA